GGGATTTGTTCTAATGGTGTTTGTAAATAGCATATCAAGTCCACATCTTGTACAGCAATTAATCACTAAGAAGAATGTATGCAGTGTGTTAATTATTGAAACTGTCCTACTGATTTGATTTGAAACTGTCTCATTGCTATTTGTTTATCAATAAAATTATGGCAAAAAGAAAAATAAATGATAGGTAGATATAGCAGCCTTCTCCAGTTTCTATGCACAAAGAGCTGGAATGTCACAAACTTTACAGATGATTTTCTTAAGAGAGATGATTTGCCACTGTTGGAAAAGTGGGGCTTTGTCAATTACTTTGGTTACCAAAGTGACATTTTAGCCAGAGTTCTGTGTTTTGCTGTATGTGGGGAACAGGCATGGGAGTGCCCTGCTTCACAAAGAAACTGGCACTCAGCTGTCTGTTCCCTGTTAAGAACTCACTCTTAGAAACACAAATCAATAATCAGCTGACATTAGGGAGCCAGGCACCTTAGGATTTGCTCATGTTTTGACACCAACAGGAATGGATGGGAGGAAGGGACTCTACTCAAGTATCTCTGTACATTTACCTAGAAAGGTTACTACTACAGGAATGTTTCTGCTTAGGAACCTGCATGACTTTCCACTCCTAGCATAGTGGGGCTCTGTGGATTACTTGGGTTCCCAGAGTGAATTTTCACCCAGAGTTCTGTGTTTTGCTTTATGGGAGAACAGACATAGGAAGGCCCAGGTTAGCTGGCCTCTCTCCATGAAGACCTCACTCTTAGAAACAAAACACATACAGCACAGAGAACCAGCCATATTTAGAGAATCAGGGGACTTATACTGAACTTATCGGTACCTTTAGGAATCAGTGGAGAGAAAGAATCTTTAACCACTTGCTGTGTAGAAAGAGCTAGACAGTCATGATCTTCAGGAATTGTTTTTCTCATGAGTGCACGATTTCCACTCTCTGCATAATAGGGTTCTGTGATACTTCAGTCTCTAGTGTGAATTTTTCACCAGAGTTCTGTGTTTGGCTGTATATAGGAACAGACTTTGGAAGTCCAAGCTTCCCAAGGGCCAGGGAATTTGCTGGCTTTCCTCTGTTAGGAATTACCTCATAGAAACACAAATAATAGAGCAGAAAGCATCAGTTACACTCAAGGAAGTGAGGCCTTTAGCTGTGCTCATGCATTGGTGACCATAGGAATAAAGGGAAGAGGGAGACAGCCTGCTCAGGTACCCCTCCTGTCCGTCTCTCAGACAGGAGCTTTCTTTCCCTCGATAAATATATTCTGCTCAAAAAAAAAAAAAAAAAAGAAGGAATAAAGGAGAGAGAAAGACTTTCTAAAGGGGGTCTGCCTGTTAGCTTAGTTGTTTAAGTGCCTGCTCATGCATATGCACTTAGATGCAGCATACCTCAGTTCAAACCCCACCTCTGCCTGCCTTACCAGACTGCCCTTAAGGTAGGCTGAGCCAGACTACGAAAAAAAAAAAAAAATCCTTCTCAATTTTTTTCTGTACAAGGACCTGGGAGGCACGATCTTCTGGGATACTTTCACCAAGGAGACTGGCACCGTTTGGATCTGCGAGTTCCTGTGGTTGCCATGGCAGTTCTTAACCAGAGTTATGTTTTTTGGTTTATACAGGAACCAGATTTGGGATACCCAGCTTCCTAAAGTGCCTGGAGCCTAGCTGACCTCTCTCTTTTAAGAACCTTCTCTTAGCAACAAAATACATACAGCACAGAGAATCAGCTGTATTTAGAGAAGCAGAGGACTTACATGGGACTCACACATCGGCACCTAGAGGAATGAATGGAGAGAGAGAATCCTTCTCCCACTAATGTGTACACAGGGTGGGACAGTCCCGAACTTCAGGAATCCTTTCTCTCGTGAGACTGTGTGATTTGCACTCTTGGCAGAGTGGGGTTCTGTGAGATACTCTGGTTTCTAGTGTAGAATTTTCACCAGAGATCTACATTTGGCTGTTTATGGGAATAGGCTTTGGAAGGCCAACCTTCCCAAAGGACCCAGGGCTCTTGTGTCTGTCCTCCATTAAGAATTCTTTCATAGAAACAAATCATAGAGCAGAAAGTATCAATTATACTCAGGGAAAGGAGGCTCTTCCTTGTGCTCATGTATGGGTGACCATAAGAATAAAGGGGAGAGCTAGACTCCTGCTTGTTAGATCAATTAAGGGCCTGCTCACGCAAATGCAGTCAGGAGCAGGAAATCGATGTTTGAACCCCACCTCCACCTGCCTTACCAGACCCTCCCTTAATGCAGACTGAGCCAGACAAAGAAAAAGAAAAATCCTTCTCAACCTTTTCTGTATAAGGAACAGGGAGGCATGTTCTTCAGGGATCCTTTCCCGAGGAGACTGGCGCGGTGGGGATCTGTGAGTTCCTGCAGTTCCCATGGGAATTTTTAACCAGAGTTCTGTTTTTTGCTGTATACGGGAACTGGCTTTGGAAGGCCCTGGAGCTCAGCTGGGCTTTCTCCATTTAGCACACACTCTTAGAAATACAAATGATAGAGCAGAAACAATCAGTTGACCTTAGGGAGCCAGACGCCTTAGGATGTACTCACGTCTTGGCATCCACAGGAATGGACCGGAGGGAGGGACTCCTCTCCAGTTTCTCTGTCCAAGTACCTAGAAAGGCTCCAACTACAGGAATGCTTTTGCTTAGGAACCTCCATGACTTTCCACTCCTGGCACAGTGGGGCTCTGTGGATTACCTGGGTTTCCAGCATGAATGTTAAACTGGAGTTCTGTGTTTCTCTGTATTGGTGAACAGGCTTTGGAAGCCCAGCTTAGCTGGCCTCTCCCAGTGGGCCTGGAGCTTAGCTGGCCTCTGTCTTTTAAGAAGTCACTCTTGGAAACAAAATACACAATCACAGAGAATCAGCTGTATTTAGAGAAGCAGAGGACTTACACTGGACTCACACATCAGTAATTATAAGAATGAATGGAGAGAAAGCATCCTTATCCATGTCCTGCGTACAAGGAACTGGACAGTTCTGAATTTCTGAAATCCTTTTTCTCATGAGACTGTATTATTTCCACTCTTGACAGTTGAGGTTCTGTGATATACTTGGGTCTCTAGTGTGAATTGTTTTTAGCAAAGTTCTGTTTTTGCCTGTATACAGGAACATATTTTGGAAGTCCAAGCTTCCCAAAGGGCCTGGGGCTTTGCTGGCTTTCCTCCATTAAGAATTCCCTCTTAGGAACAAATCAGGGAGAATGCATCAGCTATACTCAGGTCAGTGAGGCCTTTTGCCGTGCTCACACATTGGTGATTGTAAGAATAAATGGAAGTGAAAGACTCTTTCTAAAGGGTCATTTTGTAATTGCTACATCCTATGATTTTGATCAAAGCCTGGGCATCACATTTGCAGTTGAAGTCCTGTCAGCTTTAGCTTGAAAGTCAGAAGCAAAAGAAGGCTGTCCAACCTCAAAAATGTTCAGAGTAGTTCAATGCATTTCCAAGGAAAGGAAATTAGAAGTAAACAAAGAAACTGCAGAAAAGAAATTAGAGCTAAAATTGTCCATTTTTGTCTTTATTTTTGGAAAGTGTTTACACATAAAATTCATAAAGTCTTCACAAATATATTTAGCAACAACCACAACATCCATTTCAAAAGTGTGGAAAAAGAATTTCACAAGTTTCAACAAAAGCAATTAATACTAGGAGAGCTAATGATTTTACATGATTTAAACTTTGTACGATGCATACATGAAACACAACGAGTTACAACATTAAGAGGTTGAACTGTTGCTTGTGTACGAACAGGCTGAAACTGATATTTTTTTAAAAAAAGACATTTAACATAAATAGAACATTCAAAATGCAAGCGGTCCTATACAACTGATCCAATGCATATGGTTCTAGCATTCACAAGAACAGAGCATAAAACTAGCAGGATGTACTTAGTGGGGGATTAGAGTGAGAAGACACTGCCCATATATTTTCAAAACTCCTAGAAAACCACAATAATTAAGCTCTGTTGTAGTGACGTCTGAAAAGAGGTCAGATCCTGCAGGGCTGCTTTGTCTGGCCCTTATCTCTGTATACAGCTTTAGAATGCTGCAGGCTGGTGTTGGGGCAAGGCAGGCCAGGTCAGAGCAGAGTAATGGGTGCTTGTGGGCAAAAGGGCCATCTCTCGGGGGTATGTGGTCCAGCCAGAAAGTACTGATTAGAATTCCTGTCCTCACCTCCACTCCTTTCTACTGAGAGGAAGAGGTAGAAAGGAAGGATGGAAAAAGAGGGACACAAGATGGTACTATGAGGGTAGTGCTTGGCCTTGGCGGGGGAGTCCTGACATTGCATGGGCCTTGTCTAACAGTGCCTAAGAGGAGGAGGAGAAATAAGAGGACAGGTTCATCTCCTCGTCTTCATCTTCACTGCTGCAGTCTGAGGCGCTGCCGTCTTCTTCCGCGGGTTCCTTCCTGGTTCTTTGGGATCCGGGTGGGTGGGGATGGCAGCTGGGCACCGCACCTGGGGCACCCGTGCCCGGAGCCTGCAGCCTGTTCTCCTGGCCTGGTCCTGCCTGCACAGTCATGGCTGGTGAGGGCGGCAGGTCTCTCCTGCTGAACCTGGGGTTTGGGTCTCCAGGCAAGGTCACGATCTTGCCCTTCCCAGAGTTTCTCTTTTTGTATGCGGCATACTCCTCAGGGGACAGACCCTTGAGCCAGAGGTCCAGGTCCACCCAATACTGTCTGTGCAGCTTTTCCGCCTGCTGCCTGTACTGTTCCTTCAGGGCTGGGGGCACGCGGTGCCAGCGCCTGCTGATCTCCACCCTGCGCTCCTGGGGGGACAAGTATTCCAACTCCTCCCTTGACCACCAGTCGTCATGAAATTTATTATATCCCGTCATGGGGGGCTTCGGGGGCTCTCCATGAAATTTCACATACTTGCCAAATTTATCAGTCTTGGACAGAGGCCTCACGCTTTGCACACTGTCCTGGGCATTCTTTGGAGCTTTTCTTGGGCGCCTCTTGCCCCCACCAGACTTTTTGCAGATTTGGACCTGATCAGGGTGTTTTTGCCAAAATTGAGCGACTTTTTCTTTAAATTCCTGCTTGTCCTTCCAGTATTCCTCAGTGTATTTCTGCTTCACCTCCTGTGGGAGCTGCCTGTACTTCTGAGCTAGAATCTTGGCCAGCTTGTAATTGTTCATCTGAGGGTACTTTTGGGAATAATGGAGCCTCTGCTCCTTGTAAAATCGGAAATAAGCAGTCAAGGGCCTTTTGGGGAAGTCGGGGTGCTTCTGGGATTCATTGTTTCTATTGTGACCGCAAACCAGTTTTCTGGCTTCCTGCACCACTTCTTCCAGCGGCTGGAATTTCCCTAATTTGGAACAAATCTCTGTCCACTTGAGTTTGCACATTTCCCCAGAGAAGCCTTGAAATGCTATTTTCTCCCAGTCTGGCTGTGACTTGTCTGCTTTGGACCTTGGGTTGTCACCGGACAGGAGGTTATTCTCAATGCGCTGCAGTAACCTGCACACATCCTCCTTGGACCAGTGGCCTTGGCTAGGAGGCAGATCCATCTCAAGCTTGGGGCTGGGGACACTGTCAGGGGCTGAGTGGTGCAGTGACCTCCACAGGGACCAACTTCCTCCTTCTGCAGGGAAAGAAGATACCTGCAAGTCATGCACTGCGTGGAAATCTATTTGTGATGACAGAGAGAGAGAGAGAGAGAGAGAGAGAGAGAGAGAGAGAGAGAGAGGATTAATGAAGAGTCACGGGTCCTTCAGGATCTTTGCACAATCACTTCACGCTGAGCTGTGCATTGGAACATTGTTGACATCCTTGTGTATGAAGTTAAAGCCTGCATTAGTTGAGAACAGTGGGGCTCCTTACACAAAAGAGGTGAGGCTTGTCGGAGGTTTTAGGCTGGGAAGGGCACCACGCTTGAAGATGGAAAGGAGGGTGAGCTAGAATTAACTGAGTTAATTCAAAAGCAGAAAAAGACTCCATTTCCTTAGAAAATGAAAATACAAACTGAGTAAGATAGTGAGAATGTCAGAGAAAATTAACACTGACATAAATAATGAAGAAGGTCAATGGAAATAATTCCAGCATTGTTTTCATAGTCAAAACTGACTTTTCTGTGGCTTTAGGGGGGAAAGTTGTGTTAATTCCGCAACAATTTTATGAATAATTAAAATTAATAAAAGAGTCTAGAATGCATTTTAACCAAAAAAGTTGTAAAACTGATATTACAAAGTAGGTATGGGGCACAATCTATGTCTTCCTTACATCAGATGAAATATTTAAAGGCACCTCTTGAAAATACCTATGTCGGGGCCAGGAGATGGCTCAGTGGAATAAGTGCTTCCCTGGCAAGCGCCAAGGACCTGAGTTCAATCCCCAGTTGAGAGAGAGAGAGAGAGAGAGAGAGAGAGAGAGAGAGAGAGAGGAAAAAAAGAAAGAAAATACCTATGTCTCCAGTTAAAATAACAACTGTACCATTTAATTCACTATGCTCTGAAATGAATCATGATAGTTAACATTTAAATCTCTTTATGAGAGCTAGCCAAATAGCTCAGCAGATTAAAGTGCCTGCTTAGGCAGACACAGCACCCAGGTTCAATCCCTGTCTTGCTGTGGCAGCCCACCCATAAGGCACACTTAGATGGTGACCAAGACTGGGCATGGGGATGTGCCTGTAAGCACAGTTCTTGGAGGCTGAACATAGGTGGATCACTATGAGTCCAATCTACACAGTGAGACAATACAATAAAATAAATCTATTTATGAGAATGAGTGCATTGAACTCCCTCATTTCTGGGACTTCAGTATAGTCACCAATGTCGTGTTTCCACAGCCATCGCCAGATTTTTCTATTGCTATTTGAAATACCAAGGCTGGAATTTCAAGTTCCTGAAAACCTAGTGTCTTACCCATTCCATGAGGTTTCCATTGGTTTCTGCCAATTTTGAGTACCATGATGACAAAAGTAAATCTTGGAAACCTAAGAATTGCCTCCAAGAACTTAACATTTGGATACAGTAATATAGAAATGAAAATATCACATCAAGTTCTAGTAGAGATAAAAATTGCATAGTTCCACATAATCTGAAAATAATTCCCTGACTTTTATTATTATTATTTTTTTCTGCATTTAGGGCAGGGTCTACAGGGTCTACAGGGTCTCTTTGTGTAGCTCAGACTTGCAGCGATCCTCCTATTTACAGGCACGTGCCACCATGCCCAGTCTCACTCACTGGCTCAGTGCACCCCTGGCGTTGGCCTGGTACGGCTGGCCTGGGGATCAAACCCCGGTTTATGGGCTCTGCCAAAGCAGGCCCTTTAGTCCCCTGAGCTATTGAGCCAGCCCCTTCCCTGACTTTTATTAAAGCTGCTTAAAGCATTTTAGCAGCTATTATTTTATTAAAGCTATTAAAGCATTTTATTAAAGCTGCTTCTTTCAGCCTTCTGAACACAGGATTTCACACGGGACTGAAGCATGTATCTGCACCTTGAGAACGCTGCACTCACCTGAAGATTCTGTCAGAATCCTTACCGTTTCTTACAGGAAATTCCCTGCTCCTGGGTGCAGGGTCTCTGTGTCCTCAGGTGGCTGAAGCAAGCAAGGCGCCCCAGGGCAGCCTCCTCCAGGTTCCTGTGGTGAACAGACTTTGTGGCCGGCAGCACCTCAGGCATCTTTCTCCTTGCAGACACAACACCAACACGCAAAGGGAAAGCAGGTCACCTGCTTGGGTTGCACTCCAGAAGTTTCAGTCCCTAGTCAACTGGCTCCCCCACAGGATGGAGAGGCACAGTCGCCTCCAGGGCAGGTAAGAGGTAGACAAAACTCTCAGAAAGAGGACTATCTCTCTCCTCCTTATATTTCATCCAGGTTACCCACCCTTAGGGTAGGGAGCACCCACACCCTTAATCCCAGGCCTTTGGAGTACTTAATCCCAGCATCAAACACTTACAAGCCACACCTACCACCATCCAAAGTGGCAAGAGGCAAGGATTCGGCCTCCCACAGCCTGCAGAGGCAGTGGCACCGCTGGCACTTGCACGGGAGCTGCCAGCCTGCACAGCATCACAGAATGCACTGGCCTTACGCTATGTGCTTTGTGGCAATGTGTTATGAGCCCTCTATCACCATACAGCTATCCATGTGGCGGGAATGGCCATGTGGCGGGAATGGCTTCCTCCAGCCTGTTTTCTGTGCTTCTAAGGAATACTCAGCACCTCAAGCAGGAGCACAGTTGTAGAACTTGGATCTAATGTTAGAGATTAAGAGAAAAAAGGAAGCTGAACGTAGTGGGGCACAGCTGTAATCCCAGCACTGGGGAGGCTGAGGCAGGAGGATCACTCCGTGAGTTTCACGCCCCTACTTAAGCAAACTCAGAGCCAGCTTGGACAGATAGTGATCCTGTAAATCCACAAGAGGAAAACAGAACTAGCAAAGGGTGACTAAATGATTTTGAGCGAGGCCAATTCCAGCCCTGCATTGCTCCTGCAGTGTGAAAAGAAAAATATAACAAATATGGTTAAGCTGAAAACACCTTGTTGGGGAGTGGGGCTGCCCAGGGCGGAGCAGGGGCAGGATGATCAAGGTGGAAGCTGAGCCAGGTCACAGGAGGGAGGGAGAGCCTGGTCTCTCTCTGTCCTTTAGGACAGCCTGTCTTAAAGTTAATCTCTGGCCAGATAGCTCAGCAGATTAAAGTGCCTATTTAGGCAGATTAAAAGATTAGGGCAGATTAAAAGTGCCTGTTTAGGCTGACTCAGGGGCCTGGGGTTGATCCCCAGTTGTGCTGGCACCAGCCCTACCCTGGGTCTCACTGAGACTGGGCATAGTGGTGTGTGCGCCTATAATCCCAGCACTTAGGAGGCTGAAAACAGGATCACTATGAGTCTGATCTATGCAGTAAGACCTTGTAGACCCTGTATTTAATACATTTAAAAAATTTAATCTAAAGAAAAGAGCTGAGAATGCAGCTCAGTGCAAGGTCCTTTGTTTTACTCCCTGTAAAACTTTTAAAAATATCTTTTAAAACTGTTTTATTACAGACCATTTATAATTGAGTATATTTATAGAACATATTCTGATAGTTGATTGCATAAATAAAATTGGAATAATGAAATCAAGCATGGTGGGAGTGAGAACATTTGAAAGTATTCTCAATAATTTTTCATTTGCTATTTTGTACTGGAGGTCTCCCTATAAAGGTCTATAAAAAATTATGAGCAAGGAATTTTTAAAATTTTCTTTTTGTTAATTAATTTAGTTTTTTTTAATAATAGACTGTCTCATTACTCAGTTCAAACTTATAGTGATCCTTCTGTCTCAGCCTCCCCAGTGCTGGGATCATAGGCATGCGCCACCATGCCCGGGTTTGGCACTGCATGCCTGGGGTTCTGAGGCTGGCATGACATGCAGTAGCAGGGATTGAACCTGGGCCTGGTGCTTCCAGGCAGGCGTTTAGACCGCCGAGCTATCTCCCCAGCCCAAACAATGGAAATTAGACAAGAGACAGAAACAAAAATATTCTGGAGAATATCATAAACTATTGAAGCATCAATTATCTGAAGAGAATGATTATCTTTAGAAAGAAAAAAAATTCACAAGGGGCTGGGGATTAGCTCAGTAGAATAAGTGTTTGCCTGGCAAGGGCCTGAGTTCAATCCCTAGTTCCACCAAAAAAAAAAAAAAAAAAAAAGAAAGAAAGAAAGAAAGAAAGAGAACAAAGAAAAAAGAAAAAGAAACTGCATAGGTCTCAGCATTCTGAGACCCTGTGCAGGACGATGCCAAGTCCCCACCTGTCCTGGGCAACTGACTAGTAACTCACCTAAAATAAAATTTAAATTCACTGCTAGGGATGTTGCTCAGGTCAAAGGCCCTGGCTTCAAATCCCAGAATGGAAAGAAAAGAAAACAACAAATAGAGCTAAATGCTAACAAATTGTGACACAACAAGGTAAGAAAATATGTTCAAGAAGAATGGATTAATTGTATATTTAAAAAGGTCTAAAAGAGTGTGAAGGCTGCCAGCATATCTAAATTACATTGATATTAGAAGACCTGTATATGCTAATTACCTGGTTTATCTTTACACATATATATATATATGTGTCAAATTATAGTATTGCAAAGTTGAAAGAATGTTCATAAATGTTAGTTTTAAACTAACAAATACAATATATGTTAATAAGTATGTTTTAATTTTTAAAATAATTGTTAAAGATATTCTGTCACCTTTAAAAAGCAGGGGCTTTTCTACTAACTGTATTCCTAGCTCTATTGTTTTATGTGGCTTAAAAAGATCTTAAACTGGGCGTGGTGGCAATTTGTAATCCCAGCGCTGTGGAGGCTGGGGCAGGAAGATCAGGCAGGAGGATCACTGGGATTTGGAGATGAGCCTGGGCTACAAAGAAAGCTCAAGGCCGGCTGGAACTGCATAGACCCTGCCTCAAAACAAAATAAAATAAAACAAAGAACAGAAAAATAAAATACCTGGCTTACAATGATGCTTAATAACAATTACTTTAATGATTTATATATTTTTTTCACTTTAGTGGGGCTGTTC